AATAGTCTAAGATAGTCTTAGGGGTTTGCCCCCCTCATGCACGACTCGTTCAAGTGAAAGCCCAAAGGACTGAGGCTTGTGATAGGTTGGAAAGAGCCTCTTCAGCAGCACCAATTGGCAACAAAAGGACGCATGTCTAAGATGGCAAAAGTCTCTCTCCCTCTGCCATCGAGGCCTGCAAGCTTGCCTGAGGACTGTGTATGTAAGAAGAAGGGAAAATCGAGAAAGTACATCATAGTGCATCGCTTCCTCTCTGCCTCTCTGAGCTGATCTCTCGTGTCTTCAACTTGACTCAACTTGGCAGTCCTTTAAACCATAGGAGAGCGTCGCGAGGACTGCAACCAGATCGTTGTCGCCTCCACCAGCTGCAACAGTTCCTCCCTTCCCCGCTCTTCCAAGACATGTGGCCGAAGTTGCACCCTTTCACACTGAGCAGCTTCTCTTTCCAACATCCTGGCAAGCCCGCCTGCATCACGTGCCTGTGTGTAGAGCTTCGCAACAGCATCTCCGATCTCCTTGTGCACCGGTTGCTCGACCCACTCCTGACGTCTGCGATACATTCAGGGGCTGAGGGCGACGACTGACCACCTTGATCAAATTTGCTGTGGCAACATGCACATTCCTCTGCGAGAAAAGATCACGAAACAGCACAGATGACAGAGGTTCTGCATGAGCTGCTGCCAGCCTCGTCCAGGTAGCGGGAGATCACAAATGAGAGCCAGGCAGGCTCGTCTGCGTCCATATCGGGCAGGAGGACTCCCGTGACTGCGTCAGCGCGGACGGCCTTGCAATCACCTGGATCAACGGCCTGCCAAGCTGGACATCGCAATTATTTGGGAGAGACTGCAATGGGGCACCTGGCGGCACACCCGCGAGTGGCGAAGGTTCGAGGTGACGCCGGAGCTGGAGATCCAGCAGGCCGCGTGAAAGAAAGCAGCGACCGAAGCAACGGCCACAGCGAGTGGGAGCAGAGGAAGACGTGCCATGGCCGAAGAGGTCCGAAGTTCGAAGCACTCCACAGATCTAGAGATCAAGCTAGGCCTCCTGAACTCTGATCCTGCGACATGTGAGGAAGTGCCTTTGCCTTGGGATGAAACGGGCCGAGGCGACAAGCGGAGAAACTGCTGCCGAAAGCAGAGCCAAACAGTTCAGTTCTCAGAGGTCTTCTCTGGTGCAGCAGGAGCTTCTCACATGCACTGATGGCTGCATTGAACGTAATGACCTCCGCGCGCGGCGCGGAATGCCTCATGCTGCAGAGTAAAACACGGCACGTTGTCGTGGCGTCAGCCCTGGAAAATTCTGAGCTTCGAAGCACTACAGAGTCACACAGTGCATGAGGCCAGAAACCGTCTACGTGCAACGCAAGTCGCAGAAGTGCCAAGGCTTGTTGCCAACGCCCGCCCTTCTCGCAAGCACTGATTGCAGCATTGAAACCTGAGCAACAGATATTTGAGATTTACAATCTGCCACGCCCGGTCCAGAGCTGTGGCATCGTAAGTACTCAGGTAGCAACTCACAACATCTGCAGTCACCCCAGCGCTGGGCATGGAATCCCTTAGTTTCAAGGAAGCATGAAGCGAGGTGTCGTAGAACTTTCGGTGAGAAATTTGCCACTGGGGAACATTGCAGCTTAGAAACAGAAGCAACAAAGCACCCTGCCACTGCCCGCACTTCCTTGCAAGGGCACATGGGTCTTGACATGCCGGGCCAAGAAGAGATTTTTGGCAAAGTCAGGTTCAACAAAGGCACTCACAAGCGCTGATCGCCGCGTTCCAGCCTTGATTCAGGCCAGCAGCTGGCGGCTACAAAAGGCATGTCGCTAAACAAAGCAGAAACAAAGCCGAAAAACAAGCCATGCAACAAATATCTGAAGGAGCCAAGCGGTCTTCGAGCAAGGACTGAAGGACGGCCAACGCTGCCTCCCACTGACCCCCCTTCTCGCAAGCACTGATCGCGGCTCCATAGCCTTAGTCTCAGTGCTGTCAACGAGGTGCTGCGCAAGGCAGCACGGCCACCAAAATGCACGTCGCCACGATGTGTTGCCGGTGCGCTGACGACATCTGGGGCCAGCTGGTGTTGGCTCATTGATGTCAGCAGCATCAGGGCTCGGTCCCACTCTCCCGCTTCCCCAAAGGCGCTGATGACGGCATTATGGCCTGCAGGACTAGGGATGTCTGTGGAATTCTGTCAAGAGCACACGACGGGGGAGAGAAACAGACAGTGGCCACGACACGAAGAAAACCAACAAATCCAGACAAGATAGAGCCAGAGGCTAGACATCAAGTGATGCACGACAAAGAACAGCAAGGTCATTGCACGACCGGTTTCAAAGCTGAGTCACTGATTTGGTCTTGGTCAATCCTGCACCATGCCAAGCTGGGCCCATCAACGATTCTGCGCAACACTGCAGCACGACTTGAGTCCTCGCACCACGCATGCTTGTGAAGGTCCACAGCGCCCTTGCCCAGCAGCTGGACTTGCCGCAAACGCTGATGGTTGAGTTGTAGCCTCCAAGAACGTAGAAGCCAAAGGCTGGCTGAGGCGACGGGATGCAGACCGTCTGCGAAGTCTGACCTATCTAATGTCTAACGTTCAAACATGGCCCAGCGTCTGACTGTGTTGGGCTGGGAGTTTGCCGAAAGCATATCGAGCAGCTGTAGCGCAGTTGGCCATTGCACACCTGGGACAGCACAACCATGCAAAGACGCTCAGGACGGGGGCTGGGAAGCCAGCATTGCGCTTTCGGGAATCGGGCCAGCATGACGGCAGAGAAGCGTTATGGCGGCTTCAAGTCACCGCAACAAGCTGAGAAATGAGAAAAAGCTACAAATTGGAATTTGCTTCCTGCCGCCTCCTTTCTAAACGGCCCAATAAATGGAAAAGGAGCCAGTTTGCACGAACTTTCTGGGCTTGCGGACCGCGGTATGCACGAGTCCTTAAGCTCAGCAGCTCAACAGTGCGGCCCGGCGGCATCTGCCACAAGCGCTGATGGCCGAGTTGAAACACACAGTGTCCAGGTCTACCTTTGCCGGCGAGACTTTTTTTGACCAGTACTACTATTACTATTCGTAGTACTATTAGTGGCATTAGTAGTATTACTATTCGTAATACGACTAGAAGTATTACTATGATTTCTGTTTTTAGTACTGCTGCTGATCACTCATAGAGCCTCTTGCCTCTCTGCCTCTCTCCTCGTCTCATAAGTCCTAGATGTCCAACGCACCCTAGGCAGCCATGGTTTATCATAGTAGGTAAAGCATCGTCAAGTTCTTTATGTCAGGAACAATGTGATATTGGTATGTTCTGCTCTCCGCCGCTTCTTCCGTTTTCCTGGGGACTTGTTGTTCTTTTCTTTCGGAAAAGGCCCTCTTGCAATTCTTGCTTTCCTTCCTTCCTCTATTCCTCTGCCCTCTTCTCGCCACTTGACTAGGACAAACCGTGTCTACTGGCTGCTACTCTTTTTGCAACGCAGTTACTGAAGCACTGCACCCGAAGAACATACCCAAGGCTTGTTGCCATGCCGATGCTTTCTCACAAGCACTCATGACCTCGTATCAAAGTCGATGCCCGATGCTGGTGTCAGCACATGCAGCAGCACGAAGATACTGAGACTTGACTCATGTCAGGGCCGGACGCTGCTCAAATGAAATGCATTTGCCTCAATGGCCGTCTCCTGCATTGCATGAAATACCTCCAGGAAATCATCATGCGTGTCATCGGCGCGGTGGCCGCATGCGTTGTGCACACACATTTTCAGGAGGCTAGCACAGGACGAATGCGAAGTACTTGAACAAGCGTTTCTGTCCACCCTACACCACATTCCCAAGAACCCACTGCAGTCCCCCGCCTCGATCGCTTGGCTCCAGCGCTTCTGGCGTGCAAGCTCTCGCAGCGCTTGGGCAGCGGAGCGAGGACTGGCCAGGTACCTGAGCCCATCTCCGAGTGCAATGAATCGCGCCACTCCAGAAGATCTTTCTCTCTCTCTCTCTCTCTCTCCAAATCGTGTCACGTCCGCTGTAGCATCTTCGATGTGCTGAGGCTGCGTCTTCGGTTGGCCCAATTCCTCAAAAGTACGAAGTTATCTGCAACATAAACGGACTGCTGCACCACAACCACGACGATCACGACCACCAAGACCACGTGAGGCAAAAGACATCACGATTCCGATGCAACTTGAGACATATCGTCATATTAATATCGCACCGCAGCTAAAGACAGTACCCTACCAGGGGCTCCTGCTGCACCATCGGCCTCCGGCCGGTTCGGGCGCATGCTCCAGACATGCCCCGCACATGTCCCGCATGACGCAGAAAACGGCTTGAGCTTCGGCTACAGGAGCAGATGTATAATTCGCACAAGCATGGCATGCAACACAGCATCACAGAAAAAGGCTCGGAATACGGCCTAATTGGAGCCGCAACACCTGCCACAGTAGTGACAGCACCCTGCTTGCACACACTGTCAGCCTGAATCATGCGATGTCCAACTAACTCTCCACAGAAGATGTCCAGGCTTGAGCTCCAGTGTCAAAGAGGTTCAGATATGCAGAAGCAGCACGTTATGTGGGGTTGAATAAAACGCCCTCTGGCACCGGCCTCCCTGCTGACAGCGATCTGTCTGGCCTGGCTGGGATCCCTTCACCGCTTCACAATCTCGAAGCGGGGAATGCATTCCTCGCCTGGAAGCTCGGGAAGCTGGGCACCGCCAGTCGAGATTTTGAGCGCCATGGTTGCTTGAGCCGTGCTGGATCTCTCAGCACACCGACTTGACAAGTTCTGCCAGCAACACGCTCCCTCCCCCTCCCGAAAGAAACTTCTTTGCTCGTTCAGAACTTTTTCTGTGACAGAGGTTTCGGAGCTAGATCTAGGCAGGTCAAGGTGGTAGGCTTGCAGGTGTGCCCTATAGGGAGCTCTGCAAGACGGAGTCTTCGAGATGTCCTGGCAGTCCGCGTAAGACGGAAGGTCAGGGGACAACGATTCCATGAAACGGATGCTAAATGTCTCAATGTCAGGGCCATCGCCTTGCCAAACACAAGTCTTGTCGTAGCGGGGCAACTGATGGATCCACAGGTGTAGCAAAGGACTGGTAAAGGCGATTATGTGGCAGCTTCATCCGTGAAAAATAAGAATAGGTGAACAGACCTTCCTTTAAGGAAGGCCGGATGTGCAAAGCAATCACTTGCTCAGGCCGAAAGAACCGATCAAGTTTGTTACAACATGGGCCCTGACATGAATGAGCACCTTCAGCATACCAACACCGAAGCATATCAGCTGGAAAGGCTTGAATGTTCAGGTCTTTGCAGCCCGTGCAAGAAATGTAAGCCCACACAAGTGCAGGCTAACCCGGGCACGTAGCCGGTCTTTGTGTGTAGCACTGCGCTGTGACATGTAAAGAATCACTCAGCGTTCCGGGACCAGATAGGGGACGTCTGCGCAACGAACTACATGGTACATCGCTGCAAGATGGCCCTCATCTCCACGTCTCTGATGGAACCTCAGGAGCTCGTTATTGCCGGCTTGCAGTGCTCATGATTTGTCCAGCCTACTTTAAGTGTCTGCCGAACTGCTCGCTTTATGGGGCGAGAAGGTCACCGAAATCTTGGTGAGAATATGGCGAATCGCTGCCTGCCGAGCACAGAGCACAAAACCGCATCACAACGTCTTGCAACTGACCGCGCGACCTCGATCTCACTCAGCTCGATCTGCTCGACAGCAAAAATCTGCATGTCCTTCGTTGAACTTCGAGGTGGACTATGACATTCCACGGCAATATGAAACACTGCGGACAGGGCATTCCACGGCAGTCCATAAAGTGCTGGAAATTCGACAAGTTTCCAGCCACTGCAATGTCTACAGCAAAACAAAACAGGAAAAAGACGAGCCAATGAGCAACATCGGAGATGCAAGTCTTAAAGACCTCAAGCCTCCAGCAGCAAATCCGGCCGCTGCAGGTGCCAGAAACGCGGGCGCACGAAGACAACAGTCCAGGAATCCCGAGCAAACCAAACCACCAGGATGCACGGGCCCTGTTTCCATGAGATCCACCTGGCTAGCTCGGTTGAAACCACAAACCAAAGGCACTTGACTCCTTCGAGCCTTGGCCTGAGAAGCCCTGTTTGGTGAGAATGCCAGGCAGCCCAGGCAGTACTTGCGAGTGACCGGAGGGCGGAAGGAACAAAGTGTTCAGGTGCAGAAGCAACCATCAACTGAGCAGCGGCTGGCCCCAACCAATATCTATTCTGTTGCACATACCCGAAGGAAGAACAACGACCCAGGCAATCAGTGTCGCCGTCGTAGCCTCCCGTTGTAACAATCTTCGTCCTCAGATTCATCATCATCATCATTGTCATCATCATGACCATGATCATCAACGTCGTCATCACCATCAACGACGCCCTGCCCATTTTCGATGGTTCCAAGCCCTAGACACAGTCTCATCTTGATCGAACCTCATCCCGGGCTGCATCTCCCACCAGAAAACGACCCGCCCGCAAAGCCGTGCTGTTATTGACGGCAGATCGGAGACTGCAACAGCCTGCTTCGGCTTTCACGCCCTTATTTGCTCTTCGAAACGGGTGCTGGAAAGGTGCTGTCTCTGAGAAGAAGGCGCCGTAGCTCAGATCGGCGAGGAAGTCCTCAGTGTCTGGAGTTCTCTGAGCTCCACGAGAGTGTCAGGCAAGGCCTCATCTGGATACTCGAACTTCATGTCGGGCTTTTGGATCTCCACTGGAACCTGCTCAGGAAGATAGCAAGCCACATCTGCACACGGCTGGCGTTTGTGCATGAGAAGCAGCACTGAACAGAAAGGCTGAGCTGGTGGCGATGTTCTTACCCTGTTTGAAAGCCTCAGAGTTGATGCGCGTCAAGCTCCGCACAGTTGTCTGAAGTTAATGGCGATCTTACACGAATCATGCAAGCTGGCCAAGGCACAGAAACCATCTCTACCAGACACCAAGGACGTTCGAAAATTCCAGGCGTCAGTAAAATCACCATATTCCTGCTCTTGTGGATATGATCTCTCAGTTTTGTCAGATCTTCGAGATTCTCCTGAGTTAGAACGGACAAGAAAATTTCATCGCAAATCGCAGACCGAAGTGCCCCTTCTGCCAACCCAGATACACGAAAGATTTTGACGAGTCTCTGAATCCAGGAAGACTGGATGCTCAAGATAATGCGCAGGATGGTGCGGATCTGTTTGGATCTTGTTCCTTGAATGGTGGAAAATGGAAACGGCAGGAAACCGCCACGTCGGATTCAAGCTGCCGCCTGTCGGCTCGACCCCTCTAAGGTGCTTGCATTAAAGCATCCTGCATGAGAGCCGCCTCCGTCCCAGCTTCCTGCGCCAGCTAATCAGCTAATCAACTTGTGCCACTGAAGACCTCAACACACGCTCTGGGGAAGGATACCCTCTCAAGGACGGCTCCCCTGCAGCACATGCGAAGTCATTGATCCATTTGGCGGCATGTTCTGGAAAACAAGAGAAAAGCTACACAAGCTTTGTGAAAGAGGTAGGCAGAAGCCTGACAACTCCGCCACAGTCCTTCTTGAAATGCGACAGGAATATCATGTGCCCGGCTGTGAGGAATCGAGCTGTGACCTCCACAGAACAGGAGCATGATGTGTACCACGAACCTGTTCGCAAAGCGACATGAAGTCCACAGCAGCCTTGCGCAGCTGGCTGAAGTCGATCTCCAAGGGCGTGAGGTCCGTACAATCATTTCGCACATGGTGCAACCGAATCACCACCAAGCGCCCAAAAGCAACGGCGGTTCGATGGGCTTCTGGGTATGCCGCCAATATATTTCCGAGCACATCTGCCGACACCGTGTAATAGTAACCGCTCTGCAGGACCTGCTCAAGCGAGTCACATGATATGTGGCTAAGGAATAAAATGCTTCGAGACGTCACGGCGAAGTCTCCGGGCCTGCAGTGTGCCGGTGTGAAGCCAACTGGTCCAAAGAGCTATCTCGCAGATTGCACGAGCAGGTCCCACTGGGGTGGATCTCGCCCGTAGAGTTCTTGGTGCAAGAAGTTGCCCGAGGTGTCCCAACAAGGTGTGCTTCCTTCAGGGGCCAGGTGCTTGCATACATCCGATACAACTGGCTGGCTAAAAGAGATAGCATGTGGCGTAACCAAGCATTAGCTCCACTGTCATCCCCCCAATGCCACTGTCCAAACCCGCAGCTTGCCTAGGACTAGCTGTATTGCATCACGGGTCCTGGCCAGCTTGTAACTGTACCTTCAAAGCGTCAAGCGCTGGATATAAGCTGCTCTTGGCAGCGGCTGCCCGACATGAGAGTAGATTGACTTCGCAGCAAGAGACACATAAGTCACCTGTTTGCATCCGAGCTGCATCCCTGATACGAGGCACAGCATGGAAGTGCTGTGATGTCCACTCGAGAATATCACTTCTTGACGCTGTGCAACAACCTGCTTCGACGTGATATGCCGGAGTGCATGACATGCGGGCATTGCAAGCCCGTCACACGATCGCGGTGGGTCTCGCCATTCGTGAAATCCCTATGACAGCGACACCCGGCATGATCAGCCTCTGGCATTGAAGCATGTTAAGTAAGCATCATGCAGCTAAACAGCAAGACCAAGCCTTGCAGAACACTGGCCAAGGCGAACAAACCCTCACAGCTTTCGAGTCAACCTGGCCGGGCCTCAACGAGCCCTTCGCAACAGATATGCCGAAAACACGGTCGAAAACGCTCCTGCAACCACACGAGCAACATCAGAATTGACAACTCGGCTAAGCACGCATTGGGTCTAGCCGTCCTGGTACTCCAACAAGAATGCACTTTTGACAAGAAATGGTCCACGGGACTCTTCGTACAAGTCCGTCTGCAAGCTCTTGGGCATTTTCGAAAACAGCGCCAGCTCCTAGTGACATGTGGCAACTGAAACAAGGCGGGAATATCGGAATAACTTAACCTACAATATAAGAACCTTTTTCCTCAACAGGAATTGGCTGAGAGCCGACTCGACTCTTCGACTCAGGGGCTCCTCCTGAAGTTTGCTTTCCAACCACGACTGCTGGTAGCAGGATATCACGAACTTCTTCATCCTCACCGAAAGGTCCGTTGATATGGAGCGCGTTTCCAGGAAGTGATTGCAAACATCTTGCAAGTTGTTCAGTCTGGAGTCAACGTACTGCTGAACCAGGAATGCAATCCTTGCTAAGAATATGGATGTGCCGACGAAGCCGATCAAGCGCGCCAGTGCAGCTATGACTTGGTCTGTTTGTGAATCAATCAAGTCAATTTCACACCACAACAGGAAGTCCAACGCCCAGTGGATCGAGATCAAGTAGGCATGCGTAGTGTCAGACATCTCTCCAATAACGACGCCGTGCTGCGCAAAGTGGTCCCTCCCTGTGGAAGTAGACGTCCTCAAGAAGAGCCAGAAGCAAGCGAGCATGTGCAGGCCAGCAAGGTAGGCCAAGCATGTCTTGAACACCGAGATGTTGACCGTTAGAACCTGCCAAAGCGATCCGAAACTATCAAGATTTCCTTCTGTGGCATTCTCTTCTTATCGGAATATATGAGCAAGCTTGAACATCAGAACTTCAGAAAAAAAACAGAATACCCGAAATCTTCAGAACTACACAGGCACAGCCCGCGGTTTGTGCCACGCCTTGGCCCGCTCGAAGAGTATCTCGTTCAGCATTGCATGGAGCCTTTTGAAGCGCAGCATCTTCACAAGCCGGAAGAAGCGAAAGCTGCGCAGCAAGGAGACAGTGGATGGAGTGATCTGCTGTGTAATGACCGCCACGTACTCAACGATGACCACACTCAAATCGAGTAGCAGCCATGACTTGGAATACTCCCGTGCTATCGTCCTGAAGTCCATGTGCAGCCGCCCTTCAACATAAACACCTGTGCGGAAGCTAAGGAAGATGTCCAGCGTCCAAATGAACATCAGGCACCATGCGAGAAGAGGCCGATTGTAAATGGAGATTTCGCTGGAGAGCTCAAGCGGAACTGTCACAAATTCGAACGTCCATGCTAAGAATGTCAGTACCGTCCATGCCTAAGTTCAGAACCGTGTCGTCTCAAAATGCAACAGTAAAAGCTTGCAAGAAACGCTGCAGCACAGAATGAAACAAAGCTGCCAATCTGGCGTTTGAATGTGGATGGATGCTGCACAGCTTGTACCGACCGCTTGGACCTGCTGCGCAAACGGAGCTACATGACATACAGCCTAGAACACACCGTTACTCAAGACACTCTACGCACCTTCCAGTTGCGGGTTTGGCTCATAATCCATCGACGCTGAAGCCAAAGACCTCGATGCACGCATGTTGTCCCCATCGTAATCACGAAGTTCTCGCGGCGTCAACGTACTCGAGGCCGAGCTGTTCCAGCGCGGATGAAGGTTAAACCTAACAGCCCGTCCAACTCAACAGCGGCAGATGCGACAAGAACAACATTCAGTCAGGTCCCGATCATTTCCCAAAGAGACAGAAAGCACTTTAAAGTCATGTTGTCAAGCAATTGTGGGGCCTTTAATTCGGCACAGTCACATAGGGACATCACTGTCCATCAAAAGGCGTGTCGTAATGTCTGCCCAGTTCAGCACGACTCTGTTGGCCGTGGTTTCCGACAGAGTTGTAACGGTTCCTGCAAACAAAGGCTGACCCCACAAATTCAGCAGCATCAAGAAAGTTGACTTCGGAAAGTCCAACCCGCCTTGTGAGACCATGGATGATGCGGTGGAGCTGGCCCGCAATTGGCTTGCAGCGACCGCTCTTGCTGCTGCCTGCACTACCTGCTGAAGTCGGAAGCAAGCTCTGAAAGCGACTTGTTGCTGAAACGACGAGTGGGGCCACTGGTCATGTTTCGGCGCCTCGTCGGACCCTTGTTCGCCAAGGGCCTCGGTCACATGTTGCTATCCGGAGTACGACACTGTCAGAAGCAGAAGAGCCCGGCCCCTTTTTCTGTCGTGCAAAAAGCTTGTGCTCAAGCCCTAGAGAACATCCAGTGACGCCTCGCATGGAGAAAACGAAATGTTGCGGCTGCTCCGGCCGAGGGTCAGGAAAGTTTTGTGTTTTTTTTTCCTGGCACCTGGGGCGGCTGGGTTTTCGCAGTCGCACGACGGCGCTTATGAAGCCACTAAGTGACTAAGAACTCTTTGCTTACTGTGCAGGCAATCCGCCGGGCTCCGGTTGCAGTGGGTCCCACACCAAACCTGACATGAAACAGTCAGACGGGCGGCGAAACCGGAAAAAGTGAGACGGAAAGCTGAACCAGGTGTACATTTCTCTGTTGCGCAGAAAAACAAGTTTCAACCCAAACCCTCTTGCAGGGGCATGCAGCCGCAGCCTGAGACCCATATGCCTGCACCTGATTGTGGAACATGCTCCGCCCACGGCGAAACCGCGTGACAGTTGCACTTTTCGGACAGGAATGTGCTAAAGCCCAAGAAATATGCTCCGTAGCACAGGAACAAAACGTGGTTTGCAGATATCGCTTCGGCTGTCGGCACTGAAGCAATCTAAATGCTGTAGTGTAGCATGTTTCAACTGATAGATGCTTGTATGTTGCACCGGTAATGACGTGAAGCGGCACTGAAACCTCGTGGTTCCAGCAATTTTGTTTCTCGGCTCCACATGTTGTGGAAGGGTGCTGGAACATGCAATCCACGTGGCGTCGGCGAGCACCCAGCGTACCGAAACGGCGGAGCCAGAAAACCAGTGCTGAACATCAACCTGGTGTGATCCCCATCGCTCCCTCTCAGTACGGGCGGCATCGGGCGGATATCACTTCGGCTATCCGTGTTAGACAAATCTGAAGTAAGTATTGTGTCTTTGCGAAGGAGCGGAAATTGAGGATGGGCTCGAGTGAAGGATGCTGTACAAATTGCAGAATGAATGCTCCACGAAAGGCGAACTATCGTGCCGTCAGTCATTCATCCTGCCGCTCTGACAGCCAAGACTGAGACCATTCTTTGAAACTCTGCTTGCTTCTGCATTGATGACATGCATGCACATCTCAATGTTCAACACTGTACGACTTTATGACTACATGGTCGACACATTCTCTCGCAACACCTCCTTCAAAACTGCAGCACGCTTACAAAAACATCTGTCCAACTGACCGGAAGGACAACAGCTACATTCACATGCTTCCGTGCCGGACTCGCAGAATGTAGCAGGCTGCGATCTTTGGCCCCGGCTGCAATGGCACGGACTCTCGACCCTCGTGAAGCTCTGGAGCTCATGTAGCTGCTGATAGTGGTCACCCTCTCAACTGCAGCATCTGCAGCTTCACCACTGCATTTCGGAGGCTGTGGTTGCAGAGTAGACTGCCCTGGAAGAGTACCTCGTGACCTCAGGAGACGACTCCACGGTGATTAGATTCGTTGAATCCCAGAGCCTATTCCCTGAGCTCACCACCATGGGCCGTCCGACAAGGCCAGTGAAGACGTCAGAATCGGCGACATGAATTCTTGCTCACGAGTCGGCTTTTTGCTACCTGAACGAGACGGAGAAGAAGGTCCCAGTGCAATTTGGACTTGTACTCTCGCTGCCGACAAACTGGGGGTGCAGCCGGCCGATGACCCCCCCGAACCCAAAAACCATCCCATCTCGCGCTCATGCGCCCGCAGCAGCTGCTCCTTCCCGAAGCAGTACTGTCAATCCAATGTGGAAAATTCCATATGAGTGTTTGCGGTAGATGCACCAATTCATTCGAATCCCGCTTACTCGAAGATCTGGGAACACAACTCCCACACACATGCTCAATAAAGTGTTGCCGCGAATCAAGACAATCTGGTCACATGATGTTCGGAGCTCATTGCCTTCACAAACACTGAGGCAAAACCAGCTTGTGACAAATATGCCCGCATCCTTGAAATGGACTAACATCGCGTCAACATGCTCGTCGAATGTCTTGCGCCGCCGATCATCAGGAACGCCTTCATCCAAGTGCGCTTTTTGTCAAAGGTTGCCTTCCCTGCATACTGCGAGAACAGGTCCGCATCTGAGCACGGTGCCCGAAGGCTGATTTGTGGTCGCACGTCTCATTCTTTGTCACTCCAGGCTGCACCAAACCTATGTTGAAATACCTGGCTGGATGTGGGTGCTAAGCCATTGGGTGACCGACATTGAACAGCATGCTTGTCTGAAGAAACACAATATGAAGCTTCATCCTTTTTTGGATTCATGCATGCGGTCCATGTGGTTGCCGATCTGACACATGAACACCTTGAGCCACGTGCCACGCGCCATGCATACACTTCCACTTGTGCCTGCCATTGTCACGGATCTGAATGAGCAGACATCTTCTGGGCCCTACCAGCACGACAACGCATAGCGTGCCGACACTTCGCAACTGGCATCAACCAGCAGGATTACCTGGAAGTCGCACAATATGATACCGGAAATCTGGATCTTCATGCATCCCGAAACCCGCAGCGCCATCAAGGCTGCCTCTATTGAGGCATTTGCAAATTGTTCACGGAAGCACAAGTACTGTTTCGATGTCTTCTTTAACGGCTTAAGCGGAACTGTTGCCAAATGTTTGCAGGAGCCAGAACATGCACATCAAGATCTCACCTTTGTTCGGTCAGACTAGTCCGTTACTCTAGAAGCTCGGAAAAAACCCTGAATCCTTCACTCACTCACTGACTCACACATCGCTCACTCACTCACACGCATTAACTCACACACACACACACACAGAGCTCGGACAAAGGATGTTGTGTCTGCTGTTTTAACCCGCATGTCGCCGTCGTGGTGACATAAAACATCATCGAGAACGGCGATATGCCAAACAATTGCTTACGTTCGGGCGGGGCTCGCACCCAGGCGCCTAACCAGCAGCAACGTATCCGTGTTCCGCCGTCCACCCACCTTGCAGCCCAGGACGCATGGTTCACACGCCGCCTTGAGATGCCTGGAGGCGGCGTGCAGAACAGATCCATCTGCCGCAGCTGCTCATCGCAGTTATAATGCGAGACGCGCATACCCAGAGCTTTTGTTCGCGGACGGCAGTGTTGCCTGGTCGTGTTGGGCAAAAAAAACCACTGCTGGGACACTGAAGAAGCTGCCCACTGGACTTGCAGCGCCAAGAAAAAAACAACAGCTTCACGGCTGCTGGCCTCATTGCTCACAGTCGAGCTGACCCAGCCGCTGGCAGCATGGCCCGGTATGGTAGTACAGTGCCGGGCACCCGTGTCGGCCACCCGGAGTTTGTGACCGCGTGGGTTCAACGGATGCGGACGGAATGTTGGAATGGGAGCTCCTGCACCAGCTCCCTCAGCCTCAGAGCCCCGAGTTGCAGTGCGTGCGGCTCCTCCTCGCGATCTGCGCCGCAACATAGCTACGCGCTGCGGACTGTAGGCCCCGACCATGTCCAAGCGTCGCGGTGATGGTCCGATTGCGCACTCGCAACCATGCCCGCTCAACTGCTTTGGTTTTTTTTTCACGCGCCTTTTTACGACCGCAAAAGTGCAAACAGTCCCAGTGCACCCTACACGCTACCTGTCCTGGCGGTCTCCAGCACAGTCAGCCGGCAAGGGC